CCAGCCCGGTGCAGCAGCCGGAAGACCTCGTCGGCGAGCAGACGACCAGCCGCGCCCATCTCGGGGGCGTAGATTTCCAGCAGGCGCCGGCAAGCCGTGAGCGAGAGCGTGCCACGCCGGTCAAGGAACTCGTCGGGGATGAGCGCAATCTCGAGATTGCGGAAAGTCGTGCCCGTGAGGAAACAGGACTTCTGCGTCACGTCGTCGCATAGGTGCAACGCACGGATCAACGCACGGTGCTGCTTCAACAACGCGTTGTCGATCGCGTGCAACGCATCCTCCACCTCCTCCTCCGTACCTGCACCAGCCGCACCCGCCCCCGCCGCCGCGGTGCCCGCACCCAGCGAGGCGGTGCACTGCTTGACCGTGGCCAGTGCGCGACGCAAGACGGCGTCCAACTTGAAGAGGTGACGTACACCCGCCGCCACCAGCACACTCCCCAGCTCCGTGTTGTTCACGATGTGCTTGTGCTGCCCCGCAGCGCACGCCCGGATCGAGACCGAGAGGAACGGATCCGGCTGACTCGCACCCTCACGCGGCGCTGGCGGACTGCCCTCCTCCTCCCCGGCCTGCCGCCGGTCACCGAAAACTAGCTCCGTACGCAGGTCGTTCACCGACTGCACCAGCGGCGTAACACAAGTGTGCCGGTAGTAGTCGTCGCCCGTGTGATACAGGAAGAAGGGAGGCGGCGGCACGCAGAGCAGCGCACAGAGCGTCACGTCGCGCGAACGCAACGCGGAAGGCGCCGCCATCCGGGCCACCGACTCGTTCGTCACGAAACGACTCGAGCCGCGGTGCCGCCCCGCACTCGTGTGCGCCTTAGTCTCGAGCAACTCCGCGTCCCAGAAACACAGCGCAAAGAGCTCCAGCGCCAAAAAGTTCAACGGCAGCACCCGCCCGTCCTCCTCGCAGACCGGTCGCGGCACCGGCCGCCGGAAGGTGCGCTCAAACGCCGCCACGTAGCACGCGTCGAGCGCCTCGGCCACGGGCGCGCTCCAGCCCTCGACCAACACGCGCTTGCCCAGCACGTGGGTGTACTCCGTCGCCGCGTTCTTCGGCTCGCCTTTCGGCGCCTCCGCCTCGTCGTTGCCCGCGACCCCGGGCGAACCTGCGTCTGCCGCCGGCGCAGGCGGCCGCGGCGGCGGTTCGGGCGGCGTCTCCAGTTCGAGTCGGGCGGCGATGCCGTAGAGGCCGAGGGCGCACTGGAGCGCGTCGAGGTCGTGGTGGAGCGAGAGCGATAGTTGGGTGGTGTGGAAGCTGGCGAGTTTCTTGCCGGCCGTTTTGCGCAGTTCAACCGAGACCTCCTGCGCGCCAAGGCGGAGGCCGACGAGGCTATTGCGCTCGAGGAGGAGGACGCTACGTGCGAGGGGCGGGGCGCCAAGGTAGTCGGCGAGGTCGAGCGCCAGTTGCGCAGGTGCCCGGTGCCGGCGCGGGCTGATGACCGCGCGTGGGAAGGCGTCGACGTTGGCGAGGTAGAGCGCCGCGCAGTCCGCGAGCGGTGTGGCGCAGACCTCGCGCGTGGTCGGTAGCTGGAAGAGCGCGGCGACCTTGGCTGCACCCGGCGCGAGCCCTACGAAAAGCGAGGGCAGATGCAGCGCCAGGCGCAGTCGCGACGGCAACGCTGCCACACGCGCCTGCTCCGCCTCACGCGCGCGCCGCGCTGCCTCCTGCTGTGTCCGGATGCGCCCCTTGAGCAACTCCGAGGGCAGCGCCAAGTTGTGCCGCACCAACGCACGACACGGCAACGGCTCCCGCGCCGTCGGGGGTTCGGCCCCCTGTGTCGGGTCGCCAAAGACAGTCAGCAGCGGCGCCTCGCCACCCATGCGCCGCAGTCGCGCCAACGCACCGTCCGCCTCGGCTTTGAGCAGCGCAATCACGCCCTCGTCCAGAAAGCAGAAGAGCGTCTGCATCGTGGCCGCAAGCTCCGTCGCGTTCTCTGCACGCGTGAGTGAAAACTGCACCTGACTCGTCTCGCGCTCGAAACTCGTCATCACGCCGGCCACCGTCTCCGCGAAAATCTCGCTCGCCTGCTGCCGACTCGCCAGCGCCCCGAAAAACTCCTCCAGGTCCGCCGCCACCTCGCTGACCAAGTCGCCGCCGCCCACGCGGCACGCACGCACGCTATCCGGCACCGCCGCCTCCGACACCGGCTGGTCGCACGGCCGTCGCGGCTGGATCGCCGGCAACGGCTCCATCCGCGAGGGCGTCACACTAAGGAGCGCATTGTAGCGCTCGTGCGTAGTCACACTATGCGCAGTGGTTGGGTGCGAGGCCGCGGCGAGCGCAGCCGCGGTGTGCACAGTCGCGCCGTCCCGGGACAGACACACGGCGTCCGCCGGCGGCAGGCGGTGCCCGTAGACCATTAAGTGCGCGACGTGCTTGCTCAGGAAGGGCTTGATCACCTGACCCTGCGGCGTCGCCAGCACGCCCGAGAGCTCGTTCACGCCCGCCCGCAGGTCCACGGTCGTCAGGCCCTGCACGAGCAAGAACGAGGGGTAGTGCAGCCCCAAGTGCACGCTCGTCTCCTCTGAGCAGTCGCCGACGACGGAGAACAGCCTGCCCATCACCGTGACGACCATCGAAGAGCCTGCGGCCCCGAACTTGCGCAGCGTCTCCAGGTCCACCGGCTTGACCAGCCGCTTTGTCAGGTCCTGGCGCTTCGTCTTGAACTCGGAAGGCACCAAGTCGGACCGCACGATTTCGATGTCCCGGTGCTGCGTGAACTGGCGCAGGCAGCGCTCGAGCCTGCGGAGCTGCGCCGTGTCCACGGCGTCCGACAGCTCAGAGGCGGTCAACGCCAGTTCCACTGCGGCTGCGACGCCGTTGCACTGCACTTCGCCGAATTCCACGTGAATCGCACGGCCTGAAGGGTTTTGGCCTTCTCCCTCAGTTGAAAGTACACTGAGTCCTAATTCGCGAATATCAATCAAGCCTTTCGGCGTCGTCTCCGTCGCTCCTTGATTCGCCGCGGCCTGAGTTGTGGCGCCTTGAGTTGTGGCGCCCTGAGCTGGAAAGGCTCCGCCTTGAGTACCCGTCAGACCGGGTGAGGTCCCCCGGTCCACATTCAGACCACTGATCGAAGTGAGGTAATGTTGCCCGCCTCCTTCACCGTGGGAGGTCAAGCGCTTCTGGTGGAGAGCCACCGAAATCCGTTTGGCGTCGATCAGCTGAGGTCCGTCCGGCAAGATATGAACAAAAATTTGATTAAATACAACCAAAACATCCATAATTGACGTATTTCGCAGCTTCAACAGGGACTGCGTCCTGTCAACGTAAACCGATTGACGTGGATTGATGGAACCCAAAGCATAAATCTCCGCCTCCGTCCTCAGCCTTCGCCATACCCGGGCGCTCTTCGGGCTAACACTCACCGAGCCACCGGCCAGGCACACATCTATCCACTTGTGAATCGAGGAGCAATTATAGCCTATATTCGTATATTTTGCCACCGGCTCACTCGCTGGGTTGTCGTAATCCCTTATGAGTTCCCTGGTTAATCTGAGATTTGGGATTATGATTTCCAGCATATCCAAAGTCCCCGATAAATCCAGGAAAATCCGGGGTATAAACACCCGAGTCCACCTATTGGATATCTCTTGCCGATCCTCAATAGCAATCAAGAAATCGGTTTCTCCTTCGAAACAAGATATAAAAGACTTGTAATAAAGCGGCAATGCGAACCTAACGTTGTTGTTGCCGTAATTGATAAATGGAACGCCTGCTTCATCCAATTCTAAAGGTTAGAGAAAATGTCGGAAGTGGCGCATTTTGAATGGCGAAATAGGTGCGGATGGACTTCTTACGCATGTTGTATTGCTGATTGTCGGATACGAGTTTGATGTGGTCCTCGGTAGTGGGATATGTGGCCTCCCTGACGCTGGCTACACGTCTTAAACAGCATGACACTTTGGCGGCATTCCTATTTCGATCCATGGTGGCTAAAGGCGACAGGATTAGATCGGATGGCCATTCCAGTAGGGGTTGCGGATATACCAGCACCGCCGGTAGTTGCCATTTGGGATGACAAGGAGTGTGTGGATTGCCAGCCACGTGAAGTGTTTGGGGTGTTCGGAACGCAGAAAGGTTCTTAATATAGATATAGGTACCCTTTTGATCTAGGGTCCATTTGTGAATAACTATATTAATAGACATAAGGGCGGTAATAGATTCGTTGTAGACGCCCAGGTGGACATAATCGGTTCCAATAAGTCTGGATGATCCAATCATAGATGAAAGAGTGTGCTTGATTTTATTCAGATCGAATTCTTTCCAAATGGGCGGTGACGGTCTTTTGTTAGTCTGAGGCGCCGGATAAGCGACCCGTAGCGGGTGTGGCAGATGTTCTCCAAATCCTTGAAGGCGATGTTCCTGGACAAGGTAGCCCGGCTTGACTTCGCCAATCAGAATTGCCTTGATCCGACAGAGCCGGATGGTCGTCGTTCCTTCGTTTACAAACCAATTAATCTCTCGACAGAATTTGTCACTTGTGGTCTCATAGCGCCCACTGTTATCGGTTCGTGCACTCGGGCCAGGTCCCGGGATGCCCATGCTCGCGACACCAGAGATGCCCGCACCCGGGAGACCCGTTCGCGTCACTCTGCGGTTAGTCGCGAGCGCCTGGATGGTAGTCTTAAGCGGATCATGAGCCACTTCTCGCAAATACATCAGCTCAGTAATCCTGTATACGCTTTCTACTTTGTTCACGTCGTCCGCATATTTTTCTCTCTCTTTGGCTCCCTTCGCCTTAGCCAGCTTCCGCAGGGCTGCGACGTACCGCTCCGCAGTGGCAGCGTCGATGGTTCGTTTGAGGGGCTGAGAAGACCCTTTGACGAAAGCACCGAATAATTCAATATGCCGAATTATACAGTATATCGTCTCCATCGCGGCTGGGCAAATGGAGAGCTCCATTACCTCGACGTCCTCGTCCTTCTCGGCCGGCAACGCCTGGCCACGCTTCGCCCGATGCGCACAAAAAGTAATTGAAGTTCCCTTCATGGGCTGGTCTCGCAAGTCGTAAACCGACAGCGCCCTTATATTCCATTTTTTTGTAATCACGTGCATCTGAATACCTCCGGCAGCCGTGACCCGCCAGGCATGCGTGTTCTTGCTCGTCAGATTCTGTAGAGTCGTTGAGTCAAACACCCGGTACCTGCGCAGCTTCCCAATTATGTCTTCTTCTCGATCGGATGATTCATCCGAAGAACACGAACTGGAGCTAACCGGCGCAACCGGTGTTTGGTCGTGACGGTCCGGTGACGCTCTGGTTGACCCAGGACTACTGTCGGCGACTCCGGGACTACTGCGGGCGGCAACGTCAGGCGTCATTGCAGAACTTAGCTTCGGATCGAGCCAGCGACTAGTGGCTACCGAACGATTACCGTCTTCCTCTGGGACACCAGCGCAATGAAGTTCCAGTGGATCAAACAGAATAGACGGTACATAACCGTAGACCTCATCAGCGTCGTAAAAGACGTTGCCATGTAGAGTACTGTGATCGCTGTCACTCAGAGAATAGGGCTGTCCGTCTTCGTCCTCTTCGTAACATTCCAGGAACACGTCGTCCAAACCAGGTAGGTCTTCTCTAGGCGTTTTGGGTAGTGTGAACTTGAGGCGCTCCATCCGCCGAGAACGGCAACGGAGACATTTCCTTTTGGCTCGAGATGTGCCGACCCCCGGCGGCCGATGGCGCGAAACTCGTGACGGATCAAGAGACGGGTCAGGAGTCATATGGCAGGCGCGCATGACGTCGGTGTGTCTTCTAACACAGCGCCTGCTGCCACCACCCTTTCGGGGGGACCGGACAACGGCTGCTCCATGTACTCCTTGGTTTAGAAGAGTGTGTTGAATTATCTCCTCGAGCTCTTCATCATCGATCTGCAATATGGATTCGCTCGATCCATTTGCGTGCCACGTATCCATTCGACTCAGTCTTTGTGTCAGGTTTGCAGGATCCGGATGCTTCGTCCCATTTGATTCAGAGACTGATCGGAGGCCGTTTGTCTCGAGATTTTTTGTTCGGAGATCATCATCTTGACGGCCTCTAGCGTCAGACTCCGTTCGACTGACTCGTTTGGGTCCTTCGTCACGTGCTTGGCGGGGTCGATTTGTTTGTTTCTGTTCGCTGGCTTGTTGGATAGCTTGCTTAAGATGGAGGTTGAGTGAGTCCCAAATGTTGTTAAAGAGCATTCGTGTCTGTCTTTGTTGGTCGGTGACGGGGTGTTTGTACCGTGCGGAACTGGTAGAGTGTGTGGGATAGCTATCGACCATGAAGGAGAACATGTTTCGCTTATTGGGCATGCGTGATACCTCCCATTCCTTGAACCAGATATGGAAACCGAGGAATCGGATCCAGAGGGTCTCGAACAGGTGTTTCTTGGTGCCTTCCAGTTCGAGCGGTGTGAGCCAGTTGTTTTCGGCAGGTGGCGCCGAAACTCGCAATTCGTCAATGACAGCTTCCAGCGCACTTGGGAAATGGCTAGAAACATCATCGGCGAGAGTAATGTGTGCTCGCTTCAACTTAACATTCAAGCCACCTAGAATACGCGCAGTAAGGGTCTCTTTGAAGCCACCGGTTGGTAATCGCCTTTTACCACTACTGGCATATTCCGACCAAGTCTTCAGTTTCCGACGTTCCTTTCGACCGAAGGTTTTTTGCTGCGATACATGGTTCCATTCCGACGGGTACAGGTACCGCAGCCGTACCTCCGCATCCTCCGCCTCCACCTCGATCTTCCCGCCTCCGCCGACACCCAAAATACCTAGCCAACTGAACTTGGCACGCACCGTCCGGATGTTACTATAATCCACCGCCAATGGTAACGCTGCCAACGTCATGATACCTTGTGGTAAAGGCACGTCCCGAAACTCTAACTCCGGAGACATACCCCACAAACGAGCCTCCTGCAACGTCAACCAGTACTGCCATCGAGGACCCACGAACTCCTGCAACCGCTCCAACAACGGCGCAATCAAACGCGACGTCATTTTAATAAACCACTACCGCACGCACCCGCACCCGCACCAAAACCAGGAATGGAAACCAGGGCCCGCTAGGGAGCGCTCCCAAGCGCTGCTTCCCAGAGTCTACCTCCCTCCCTGCTTTTCCACACTTCGCTTCGTCTCAGCCCACTGCGCGAGTGCCCATCTCGCATCGTGTCAACCCACCTCGCGTCAGATACATACTACGTCAAGAGTCTGTATCAAAATTAGGTCGATGACGACGACCGTCTGTGCGCAGCTGCGCGCAGCTGCGCGCACCTGCGTTGGCGGCTATGCTGCCGGGGAGCGCTACGCTGTCACTGGACAGCTACGGTGTTGCCGAGGACAGCTACGGTATTGCCGGGGACAGCTACGCTGCGGGAACAGCTACGATGGGGGAACAGTCACGTCGCGGGAACATCTACGTCGCCGAACATAATTGGGCTGGTTGCCCCTACCTTGGTGGAAGCGTTCTTGGTGGAAGCGTCCTTTGTGGAAGCGTCCTTGGTGGAAGCGTCCTTTGTGGAAGCGTCCTTTGTGGAAGCGTCCTTGGTGGAAGCGATGGCTCATAGACCGCCGGAGCGTCTTGACTCCGCCGAGCCACTTTCGAACAGGCTGGATCGGTTCTTGACAGGCGCCGCGTCGGTTTCGGCCGGCGCGCGAGCCTTTCGAGGAGCGATCGCCTCCTCCGCAGGCTTCTTCTTGTTCTTTACGACGAGATACGCAACAGAGACGATGGCACACAGGGCGTATGCCTGAAGAACGTAGCCGTCGGTAGCAGCGGGTGTCCCAAGTACGGGTCGTCCCAAGTACGGGTCGTCCCAAGTACGGGTCGGGACAGGGGGTGGGGTGTGCGACCGTATGAGGAGAGGTAGGGTGTGCGATTCGTGTGAGGGCTGGAGGTGCCTACCACGAGGGCAATATAGCAAGGGGCTGCGGTCCTCTTTCGTTTGTCTGCAGGTACTTGAGAGAGAGAAGTGTTGTTGGAACAGTAGGCTCCCAACACAGTCTGAGAAAACGAGCAGTTTGAGTGACTAGATCTATGCATACGAGGAATAATACAGCTACAACGAAGTAGACTATGCAGCAGAAGGCCCAGCAAGTCTTGGAGCACATTTCTGGTTTTTAAATTAAAGAGAAAATGCGATGCTTGGACTGCAGTTGTATCGAGTACGAGAAACAAACAGGGGGCCACACTCGGCTGAAGCGACTGCGGACTGAACCGTGGATTTTATTGAAGCCAGTCTCCGTCCATGAGGCTGACATCTACAGGCAAATAGCCGACCGTCGTTCTCCGCTGCATGCCCTACAACCCATCACCGCTCCCTTCTTCGGCATAGAGGAAGCCGTCAACCGCTGCAGCGGGTGCGGCGGAGACAAGTACCCTTCATTCGATGACCGTCCACTTGAGGACCGTCTACTTGAGGACCGTCCACTTGAGGACCGTCTACTTGAGGACCGTCCACTTGAGGACCGTCAACCGGAGGACCGACTCCCTGAGGCTCACGAGTGTGAGGCTCACGCGTATAAGGCTTACGCGTATGAGGATCACGAGTATGAGCCTGCTAGTCCGGGGAGTCGTCACCCCCTGGGGAATCGTCAGCGGCCGGGGACTGGGGGTCGGATGCCTGGCAGTGGTGAATGGCTAGGCGGGGAAGACATGGTTGGGGGGCGGACCAAGTCCTTCCCGTGCATACTTCTAAAAGACATTATCTATGACTATGAGGCCGGGTGTTTGATGGACATTAAGATGGGCGTCTGTCAGCGTACTCTGCACAACCGAAGTCCGCTGAAGGTGTTTCGACAGTTAGTCAAGTCCCTCACCACGACTAGCAGCACCCTGGGATTTCGGTTGTGTGGCACACGCGTGCATCCGCAGCCGGGAGTCCTCGTGGTCAAAGATAAGTACTGGGGACGGAGCATTAGCGCCCAGTCCGCGCGCCAAGAGATAATCGACTGCTTCTCTTATAACTTTGCGCCGAGAACACCCCTGGTTGCCACCCTGGTCAACCAACTTTCTGCTATCCACTCGAGTAAGTGCGCACTCGATTCCTTTTTGAACCTTATATCTCTCTGCAGTTGTCAACAACCTGCGAGGCATGAAGTTCTGGGGAGCTTCACTCCTTGTTCACTGGGACGCGGAGAATATCGATAAGGTAGGCAGCCATCACATGAGCACAGGTGTCAACACAGAGCGCCCACACAGAGCGCCAATTGCGGCCAGGCTGCGGGTTCACCCTGCATGAATAGATAACTGCGTGTGCACGATGTATGCATCAGTACGGCGTGCGTATCGGTGCGTGTGTGTATGTACTGGTATGTCGATAGTGTGGAATAGCGCTGATTGACTTTGCCAACACCCTGGTTGATCGGCGGCCAGGCGTTGCTGAACCTGACCAGGAGTTGTTGTTTGGGATCAAGTCATTGCGATCGATTCTGGTCAGCATCTTGTTGCCGAAGTCCGTGCCAGCATCCCCCAAAGCCATGGCACTCTCCCCCAAGACAGCGTGCTTTTCTGTCGGGGCTGAGAGCGCAGCTGACGACGAGGGTCTAGTCTCTGCGTCCAGTGGTACTTAAGAGTGACATGCCTCGTGGAACATACAACCACGCGACCTTAACATACCGATGGTCTCGACTACCGACTCCCTGGGCTGATACGAATGTGGGCACCGGAGGTCAGCAATGGCTGTGGGGACTCCCTTTGACAGCATGCAGAGGATTAGAGGGGAAGCTAACCGGAGACGCAACGAACTGCAGTACCAGGAGGTCAATCGGCAGTGGCTACAAGCGCAGAACACAGGAGTCAATCCGTGGAAGCCGTATATGTGGAAAAGGTACCAAGCAGGCGGCTACTCCTTCGACCTTATCGCATACAGGAGACCCAGAAGAAATTGGTAAGCGATAAAATTATGATGATTCAGCACGTAAATGGCTTAGTCAGTACGTAGATATTGACTCAGTGTGTTGATACTGACTCAGTGATAAAAAGACGGTTGTGACCAAATGGTTATGACCGGGTTCACGTGTGTGCCCGCTTCAGTCAGTCGCGTCCGTATTCTCTTTCTCTTAGGGTGATGAAGTTGCTGTTCTGTTTATAGTTAGTCTTGCGCGGGAGGAATCGGGCGCGATACGAGGTTCCATGAAAGTTGGTTATTTTTTCCCAGCTGCTTCTTGTCCTCTTCCGTCAAGACCCGGGCGCGGGAGTTGGCATCCACTCGCACGTTTCGGAAACCGGTGGTCGAAACGTTGCGCAGGATCGGACTGGGAGTCTGAGACCGATTTATTCTGGGCCTAGATTTTTCGGGTTTGTTCATACAGGGTATTACCTTACGCACAAACTTTCTGATGCGACCTTCTTTGGGCGGCTGCTCATCCACAGGGTCATTTATAAGCTCAAAACGGGGCTCCGTGCTGGGCTCCGCAGAGGACGAGGCCGAGGACGAGGCTTCCTTTTCTTTCTGGTCCGATTTTTCGGAGTCGGTTTCCGCCTCCCTAGGATTCGGGTTGGTCGTGGTCACACTCTGAGCTCCCCGCCCAACGGCAGCTCGCTCAGTGGCGTTCAGAAGGGCCAAAATGTCCACAGAGGCCGGGGCCATTCCGACTTTGACATGGTGGTTACATAAAGCAGTCATCGTAAACTGCTTCCTCGACCGCTCCCGGTCGTAGCCCCCAGAGGCGAGATAGGCTACCAAGACGACGGTGGATGCAGCTGTCTCGTGTGAGACGCTCCCAGCCGACTTCATTTTATTTTTTTTCACCCCGCCCGATACTGGGGAAACGCCTTGGTCGGCCGAGGGCCCGGCGGAATTAAATCAAAATCTTCTCCCGGCACCAGTCAAAAGTCCAAAGCCTAAATTATAAAGAAAATGCGTGGCTCCCCTGGCGTGCGGTTGGAGCGACGACAGGCAGCATTGCTTTTGGCGGTAGCGAGTACGAGTTACGGCCCGCCGGACATTTACCGGAATGTGCATTTGCAACACATAACGCCGATCTCGGACGAAGGTCGGAAGGAGGTGCTGGAGAAGGTGTTAGCGGGGTTACCGTGGTACGCGCAGAAGTTGTACCCGGAAATTCCGACTGCGCGTTGGCTGAAGGACCTGTGCCAGTGGGATGGGCCTGCGGTGCATGGTGCATTGCGGAGACAGGTATTGGCGAAGCAGAAGGTGACGCGCGCGATAAATGACATTACCGAGGCGGTGCGTAGTCTGGCAAATAAGGAAGCGGCGTACATCTCCGCGGAGGCGGTGGAGGAGTTAGGGCGTATACTCTGGACGGAGGTTGGCAAACAGTTGGGCGACAAGGCCACGCGTCTGCGGCTGCCGGGCGTGCGGGAGTGGCCTGAGATCCAGTCGCGAATTGAGCAGAATTTGGCCGAGGCATCGCGTGCCAACTGGACCAGAATAGAAGACGACGGCGGCCGCAGAGGCCGGGACGCAGACGAGTTGGATGCAGAAGAGGAGGAGGAGGTGGTGGAATTCATCAACGCACTTGTCGACGAGGGCGATAACATCGCGCGACGTCAGGATCAGGGACTTCTCTCGCAATACAACGAGCTGCTGCAGCAGACGGATAGCACGGTCAGTCAGGCCATGCAACAGTACGGTGCTGTAGCACGGAAGTTGATAACTTTCCAGCATAACCCTGGTCCGTCACTTTCATTCCGCGCCCCCACTTTCGGGGCCACTTCCTTTGGCGGCAGTTCCTTTGGAGGCGCGGGGAGGCTCATTCCGGCGCCCACTGCGGCGCTAGTGGGGGCTGTGAATGACCACTTTCCGATGCACATCCAGCAGCAAATTACGAATGTAAACAACCCCTTTAGTTCGCTATCACCTGATGCCATGACGATGTGGGAGCAGCAGATGCGATTGATGGAGCTACTCGGTCGCCCAGGTAGTCCGGGCGACGCGCGTAATCGTCTGAACGAGGTGGGCCGAGTCATGCGGAACATAGAGAGGGAGTCGGCTAAGCTACTGCAGTTCCTCAACGATGGCCGCCATTTCGTCATTGCAATCCGAAAAGCGCTAGAGAACAAAAGTTTATGGAATGCGCAACGAGCGGATGTACGTTGGGCCCGCGCTTGTTTGATCTCTAGCCTCAACGAGTACATGACTTCCAATGTAGTGGACGGCCATAATATGCGCCACGCCTTCGGTAGTCGCGCACTCCAAGGTACTGGCAGTCTCGACTTCGAATATCTCCGCATGATCCAGACAGCCAAACTCATCGCACCCAATCAGTACCGCTCCACCGTTCAAAGCTGGCTCGCCAAACCAGATCTAACAAAATACATCGTCGAGGTAGCCGACGACATCTCCACCGCACCCACCGCGGTCAGTGCCGCTGTACTCAAACGAGCCGGCTTCGAACACTTCGTTGTCAAAGGCGACCTCGCCCATCGCGTGGAACCCATTGTCATGACCGAACGCGATATCCAGGACTGCGAGGTCGCCAGAAACCATATCCGAGACAGAGTCAAACCGCACGCAGCTGCCGATACAACAGTCTCCAGGACGACAATCAAATCAATCCTAAGGAAGTAATTTTTCGCATCCACTGCGGAACAAACGTTCCATATATATACCAACCGTTATGCCTGAGAGCGGGTCCATCCATGCCTTTGTTCGCTCCATCCATGCCTTTGTTCGCTCCATCCATGCCTTTGTTCGCTCCATCCATGCCTTTGTTCGCTCCATCCATGCCTTTGTTCGCTCCATCCATGCCTTTGTCGCTCCATCCATGCCTTTGTCGCTCCATCCATGCCTTTGTCGCTCCATCCATGCCTTT